CGAAGCCCGCGCGGCAGCGGCAGCGCAGGGCGTGGCCCAGGTCCAGGCAGACCCCGCCTGTGGGGAAGGGGGCGTCAGGGGCGCGCCGAGCGGCCCCCACCCTGCCCCGCCGCGACCCGTCCTCCAGCTCCAGGGCCAGCCTCGCGGTGTTGCCTGGAGAAAGGGCAAGTGCCCGGCTCCACCCCACGAAGTCTTGGGGTCCTTCTGCGCCGCACTTCGGCTCTCTATGTGCTCTTCAGTCACACTTACAGCTCCCAGAGCTACATCTCCCAACCGCTTAGCCTTTGCCCTAACTGCACCCATCTTTCCTTCCTCCCTCTTTTTTTTGTTTTGTTTTGTTTTTTGTTTTTCTTCCGGTACCAGGAATCGAACTCACGACTTTGCGCTTGCCGGGCAGGTGCTTTGCCGCTGAGCTAAATCCCCAGCCTTTTTTTTTTTTTTTTTTTTAACACCTCTCTCCCCTAGTTCACCCTCCAGGTCGACTCAGATGCCTTTTCCTCCGAGAAGTCTCCCTGACATTCGATCCCCTTGCCCCCATCACCCCGTGGCTCCCCCCTCACAGCCCTGCCCGCTCTGCGCTCTAAGGATGGCCGGGCCATGAGCCCTGGGGCAGTCGCAGCTGCTGGCACCCTCAGGGGGCCGGGTCCAAAGATGGCCTGGCTACCGCTGTGTGTCCAGTACCAGTCAGTCCAGACAGCACCCGGTGTTTTGGGGAATCATTACACCCGCTCGCACCGCTGTGCCAGGCACTCGTAAGACCTCATTTAATCTTTCAGCCCCTATACAACAGCAGATCTCTCCTCTGCTCAGACCTTCCCATGGCTCCACCTCGCTCCGACAGGCGCACCTCGAAAGCAAGAGCCCTGGAGGCCGCGCAGGATCCGGCCACCCCCCGCCTGACCTCAGCGCCCGCGGCTCTGCCCGCCCTCTGCTCCAGCAGCCTGGCGCTCCAGGAGGGCGGGGCTTTTGGTCTCGTTCCCTGCGGCACCTAGGCTCAGGCCTGACCCGTGGCAAATGCTCAGTAAATACCTATGAGATAGGGAATAGCTCTGCCCGTTTTACAGAACAAATGGGCTGGGCAGAGGAAAGAGGGATGGAAAGCCAGGATTCCCACCCTCGCGAGGCCTCGCACCGGCACCCCTCCGGCTCTGGCCGCCCCGCCTCACCATTCTGGCAGGGCTGCAGGCTGCACCGGTCCACCCTCTTCTCACAGTTGGAGCCTTGGAAACCGGGTGGGCAGTGGCAGACGTAGGCAGAGTCCGGATCGGCGCCCCCGACGCACAGGCCGCCATTGAAGCAAGGTCCATCGGCACAGGTCACCCCGCTGACCTCACACCGCAGCCCGTAGAAGCCCCGGGGACAGGCGCACTCGAAGGAACCGGGCGTCTCCTGGCAGGGGCAAGAGGGCTTCGGACCGGAGGTTCCTTGGGGCAAAAGCCCAACTCCCTCCTGGGTCCTAACCCCACAGGTCCCCGTGTGCAGGGGCCTCACCTGGACTCCTCGCCGACAGCCCTCGCCCCACGCCAGGGCCATCCTCTGCATGTGTGACCCACGGAGAGGAGGCGTGGGGACCAGAGAAGCCACCCCCACCGCTGGCCGTGCCAATCTAATGCCACCTGCCTGCTCTGCCCTCCCGAAGCCGGCCATGTAGACGAACCCTACTTGGAAGCCCTAGCGCTAAGCCCACCTCCTGTCCGAAGGCTTCTCTGGACGCCCGTTCCCGGCCCCACCCCAGCCCTGACCTTCACCCTGGTGTGGGTCGGTCTCACTGTCCCAGGGCTGCAGCGTCCGAGCTCTACTCTCCCTGCACACACCAGGCTCAGCCCCTCTCTGCGCCTTTCCTCCCGCCACGCCACTTACCTGGCCTGCCCTCTGCGATCACCTGCCCTTGGCCAAACCACCATGCCGCACAAGCCCCGGGGTTGGGCTCACCCCAGGAAGCCTTGTCTCATTTCTCCACCACACCCCCGACCCAAAGCCTCCCCTGAGGAGGCAGCAAAGGACTCCATCATTCCCACTCTAGCAGCTTTTGGTGCCACCGACACAATCTTTGCTCCTCAATCCCATCCCCATCACCAAGTCCCACTTCAGGGCCCCACATGCAGTCTGGCCACCTCCAGGAAGCCCTCCTTGACAGCTACTCCCAGACACACACACACACCCCCAGGTGGTGTCTCAGGGACCCCCAGGGAGGGTGTGCTGGGAACTCAGGACAAGGAGAAAGAGGGGACACTGACACTACAACTGCCCCCGTTGGCGCAGGGGTTCCCGTCACAAGGTCCGGGCCCAGGTAGGAGGCATCCAGCGGTGGCAGAGGATGGGTCCCGGGGCCCGAGGCAGCTGCTGGTTGAGACAGGGACAGTGCAGAGGGGCCCAGTCCAGCCCTCCAGGCACCGGCATTCATCTGGCTGCTCACAGAAGCCGTGCTCCGGGCTGCAGCCTGCCAGGCACACAGCTGTGGGGGACAGAGAGGCAGAGAAAAGGCCAGCGTCAGGGAAACTGAGGCCCAGAGAGGCAAGGGAAGATGCACTGCTAGGGAGAAAAGGAGTGAGGATCTGAATCCAGGCCTGTTTGCCTCAAGTCTGTGTTCTTGGAACTGGAAGCAGGATGGCACCCAAACCTGAGTCTGGAGAGAATGAGGGAGGGTCTCAGACTGAGGAGGGACCCCTCGCCTTCCAGGAAAGGTAGAAGGGTCTTGGATGAGGGCAGGTTTGGGGAAATATGAATTAGCTGAGCGTCCTGGGGACTTGGTAGCACTCTGAAATTTAGGAAGCGTCTGAGGCAGTGGTGGCGAACCTACTGCCCATGTGCCACGGCGGGCTGTTTGTTATCATTGAAAGCTCTGAAAGTTTCCCTATCGCTGATCTGAGGGACCCTGGGTGGAGGTTAGGGATCCCAAGCTTTAAAAAGCAACGAACGTGGCAAAGCATGGTGATGCACACCTGTAATCCCACCCTTGGGAAGCTGAGGCAGAAGGATGCAAGTCTGAGTCCCAACTGGGCAAACTAACAATTTTTTAAAGTTAAAAAAATTGGAGGGGAGGGGCGGGGGCCAGGGATATAGCTCAGCGGCACAGTGCCTGCCTAGCAAATGCAGGAGTTTGATTCCCAGTACCAAAAAATAAAAAATAAATGTAAAAAAATTTTAAAATGCTGGGGATGGTACTCAGTTCTCTTTCAGTATGATCCCCAGTACCAAGGGGGAAAAAAGCAACAGGCAAGGCCATATGGGATGGTGCACAACTGTAACCCCAGTTACTAGCAGGCTGAGGCAGAAGGATCATGAGTTTGAAGCCAGTCTGGGATACATCACAAGACCCTGTCTCAAAATAAAAAGATATGGGGCTGGGGATTTAACTCAGCGGCACAGCGCCTGCCTGGCAAGCACAAGGTCGTGAGTTCGATTCCTGGTACCGGGGGAAAAAAAAATGTGATAAGCGCTGGCTTTCTTTGCCAGCACTACAAAAAATAATACTAACAATAAATGAAGTAAAATAATTATTAAAAGTAATGGGTTCTGGCTTGCAACCTCAGGGAGGGAGGAGGCAGGAGCCCTTGGGAAGAGGACGTTGGGGAAGGGGAGACTGGGAGGCTTCTGAAGCTCTTGTAAGAAGGGCTTGAGAACTAGAAGAGCCTCGGGGTCCCAGCCTCAGGAAGGGGTGTGGGTATGGGTTAGGGGAGGAAGTGGGGCTACCAACGTGGAAATGGTGTGAGGGTCCTATCTGGAACAAGAAAAGTGCTTGGATGAGCGGAGGAGGCTGGAGTACCCAGGCAGGCCTGGAGAGAAGTCTAGGGTCCTCAGCTTCCCCAAAGGTGGTAGATCATGGGAGGGAGCTGAGGCCACGGATGGTGCTAGGGAGAGGCTCAGAGTCCCCAGTTCCTTGAAGAAGGTAGCTTGGTGGTGGAGGAGGACTGAGGGCTGGGATCCAGTGGGTGGAGGAAACGCGATGGGGTTGAACGCAGCACTCACGCGGATCCTTGCACTGGTCCTCGAACGGCGCGCAGGGGTGTAGTCCCGGATCGCACCGCGACGGGGCGCTGCGCGAGCGACACAGGCGCGCACACGCGACCCCGACGGCGGGCGGCTCGCAGCGCGCGCGGTAAGAGAAGTGGAGTTCCCAGGCGCCTGCGCGCTGCATGTCCCTGGCCCACGGGCCCCCGGCAGCCAGTCGCCGCCGGCCGGCCACGCGCGCCAGCAGGCTCCAGGCGGGCTCTGGGGGGAAAAGCGGGGGTACTGGGGTGCTGCGATCCAATTCCGGTCTCGGGATGAACACGGAGCCCGCGGGCTCGCTCTCTACCATGTGCTTATGGTGAAACAAAAACACCCTTATGGAGCCCTGGGGTCCTCTGACCCTCCTCAGCAAGGGTGCCAACTCCATCCCCATGGTAACATGTCTCGCAGCAACCATAATACTCTTGCATTTGCCACAGAATCTTTGTGTATTAGTGGCGTGGTGGTACATGCCTGTGACCCCAGCACTCTGGGAGGCTGAGGCAGGAAAGTCACAAACTGAGCCCAGCCTGGGCAATTTAGCAAGACCTGGTCTCAAAATGAAAAAGCAGAATTAAAGGGGAGATGGCTAAAGTCCTGTGACATTTGATATCTCTTTCTGCAGGGACAGTAAACATCCCCTGAGTAAGGTGAGAACACACCCAAATTTTACTTCAAGGTCTTCCTCTATCAAAATGGTGACAGGACTCCAATTTCTAGATCACAAATTACCCACTGTGCCAGAGACTTTGGGATGCTAGGAGGGTGACACAGTCCCCACAGCAAGAGTGTCACATTCCAACATTGTGTGCCACACGTGCTTTCTATATCAAAATGGTGACAGAACCCCAGGGTGAGCCTTATGCAGCAAGTTTCTCAAATTAAGGATAAGATCACCCCATAGCCTGAAGGCTTTGCTCAGTATGCTCCCTGGTGAAGCCCAGGGAGATAGGGACCCACAGAACCTCTGTGTGACAAGATGAAAGTTTCATGTATAGTACCCAGAAGTAACTCAGGTTGCACCCTGGGTTCTCAAAATCAGGCATATACTAGCAAATTTTACTTTGTTTTGGAGACAGCCCCTAGCTATGTCGTCCAGGCGGGTCCTGAACTCACTATGCAGTCTGCACTGGCCTTGAACTCAAAGTGATCCTCCTGCCTCAGCCTCCCAAGTGCTGGGGTTACATGCGTGTGCCACCACCCTCTGCTCAAGTGTGCCTGTATTTTGACTGCAAGTCATCACATGAAGTCAACTGTTGACTTTTCTCCCTAGTGGCATCATGTCAGGGTTCAAAAAGTGTAGCTCATCGGTAGAGCACTGGTCTAGCATGTGGGTTCCATCCCAGCACCGGAAAAAAAATTCTGGGTTTGGAGCATTTTGATTTCTGAGTTTTGGACTACAGCTGCTGACCAAGGACTTCACATCCAATGCAGGACATTTCTATGCCTGAGACATCCAGAAGCCTAAAATTATTAACACCCCAGGAGCCGTGATGACAGCATAGGCCCAGCAGGCCCATGAATGCAGACAACTCTGGATCACCATCCTGGACCCCACGTGGGGCCCTGAGTCCCCACCACAGTCCCAAACTGGAAGACACTCACCTGCTCCCACCTGTGCTCCCAGCTCCTCCCTCCAGGTCTCGATGGTGAGGGAGAAGGCACCCTGGCGGGGAAAGGGGAGGAATGGATAGAAGGTGAGGGCAAACGTTTGTGAAAACCAGTGTCCAGGCCTGGAGAGTGGCAGCTGAGCAAGCAAAGGACAATTGCCAAGGGGATGGCCCCAGGGAAGGAATGACTCCTTGGCTTTTTTTGTTGAGCACTGTGTGGTAAGGACTTCATCCAAGATATGGGGCTGTCCTGAGGTACAAGGATGGTTCCATTTACAGCTGACGAAACCGAGGCTGGAAAAAGGAAAGTCACTTGCCCCTGAGACAAGGGTCTAGAATTCAAATTCTGCCCTGTTCCCCTCTGTGCTTTTGGGACTGTGGGGATGGGAGAAAGGATTTCAGAGGGAATACTGGAGCTGAATCTAGGCCCCTATTGGAAGAACTGAGGATGGAAACGATGCAAGATTAGAGGTCTAGCATGTGGGTTCCACCCTGGTGGAAGAGGTCGCCAAGACCGAGTATGGCAGGGTCCCTAGGTGCAAGTAGATTTGAGGATAAAGATGAGGCTCCTGGTTTTTAAGCATTCCGCAAGGAACCACGGCAAAGTCCTGTAAATTTAGGGTTTCCAGGGAATGAATTTAGCGTCCCAGAATGCTGAGCTGGTGTCAGGACACTTGGGTCCCCAGTGGGTAGGGTTCGAGGGGTTGAGAACGTAGGGTCCAGATGGTACAGTGATCTGGGAACTTGTCTGCCACAGGGGCACAGTTAGGGTTTTGGAAGCTGGAGGCAAGAGGAGGTCGAGATTTGGGTGGGAGGGTTAGGAGCCCAGCCCCCTGGACGCCCCAGCGCGGGGCTCACCGGCCAGGCGTCCCGGAAGGGCACGCGCATGAGGCGGTCGGGCAGCGGCAGGTCAGACGCGGGCGCTCCGGGCTGCTCGGTGTAGACGGGTCCGCGCGCACTCAGCGCTGTGCCTAGAGCGCACGGGGACTCCGCGGCCTCCTCGGAGACCCCGGGCTTCAGACAGACCCTAAAGAAGAGGCGGCAGAGGCCCCGAGCGCTGCAGGGGGACCGCGGGAGCCCTGGGCCCGGGCCTGGCCCGAACGAATGGATCTGCAGCTCGAAGACACCGGCAGGATGTGCCTGGGGCGGAAAGGGGCACGGCAAGGGGTGAAGGGGCCGCGAAGACCCAGACCTCTGCCCGTCCCGCGCTCCCACCCCCATTTATCCCTTCCCATTCCATTTCCCGCCCAGCTCTGACCTGGGGAAGGAGAAGGAGCACCAGGATCAGCAACTGGGACAGGGCTCGGGACATCCGCAGGCGGACCATGGCCTTTCAGGGGTCTAGGGAGTCGCAGCGGCCGGCTCCCGGGCCTTATATCTGAGGGGACGGCCCCGCCCCTTCGGGCAGCCTCCGGGCTCCTGGAGACCTAGGGAAGGGGTTTCGGGGAAGGGGGAGCAACTTGGAGATCCGCGTGCGCTACGCGACGTAGTCCGCGTGTGATCCTGCGTGTAACTGGAGCAGACTTGGAGCGTGGCTGGGGTCGTGTAGGTCGTGTGAGAGGTTGCGCGTGATTCTGAGATTCTGTGCGTATGTGTGATGTGCGCAGGGGCTCCCGGAGCATGTGTGTAAGTGGGACTGTGTGCGTGGGTTAACGTGTACCTGGAATCCTGAGGTCGTAAATAATTCTAAGATTCTCTGTGTGTGAACCTACTCCCGAGTGGGCAAGTAGGTGTGTGACATTCTGAGATTGTGTAGCTGTGTGACTGCCCCTGTGTGTATGTGTTTGGGTGAGAACACTGTATAATCGTCTGAACCTGTGACTTTGTGGTCTGTGCAAGGGCTTCGAGCTGGCAGTGTGTGCGAACGTAGTGTGCGGGGGGGCGGGGCTGGGTTTGTGAGGTCCACGGGAGCAGCTGTGAGTGAATACGATGAGATGAAGATCCGGAGTTCTTTGTGAACCACTGCTTGAGTGTGCGCTCGCCCGCGTGCGTGTTCCCCGCCCCTAAACAAAGCCACCGTCCTAGGCCCCCGCAGCACCAGACGCTGCAGACGCCGCGGCGGCCCCGCCTCCTCCGAGGGGACGCCCAGCTGTATGTAAATGACGCCATCTGCCCGGCGGCCGCGCCCCTCCCCCGCGGCCGCAGCTGGGCTGCCCGTTTGGCCTCCGGAAGGTGCGAGGAGCAAACGGGCAGGAAATTCGTCCGCAAGTACCAGTGGGCCGGGCCGCTCCCCGACCCAAGGATGAATGGGGGGCACCCTAGGCCCCCGAAGCCCCTTAGTATTCCAGGACCACGACAAATAAAGCCAGTTAGGAGCAGATGTTCCAGGTCCCCCGTCATGCTCCTTGCCAGGCCTTGGGCAAAGCCCATTGGATGGAGGGAACTGTTTTTCATTTCCACAGTTAAAAAATGCAATGCGAAGAGGCTAGTAATTTTAGGGGAAAATTTTTCTACGCACTTGCTTTGCAGAGGCCAGCAGAGCTGGGCATACAGGAATGCTCAGAACTTTAATGAATGGAACTTTAGTCTAAGGAATTTCTGCCTACTCCTGAGGATCTGGAGTCACGGAATGGTTCTGTGCCCCGAGCGAGGAAGGCCTGGGTCAGCTCTGGGGGAATTTCACAGACCCCTCGGTTCCTCTCGTTCGCCCATCTCCTGTGCTAGGAGTGCAACCGACCGAAGGGATCGAAAGGGATAGGGCACCTACCCTGAGCTCCTCCAGCCCCTGACCCCTCTGTCTGGCCCCACGCTCCGCCCACGCCTCCACATTCTGGGCCTGATCACTGTGGCCTTGGGGGTTCTTCTAAGCACAAATCCGACCATGTCCTCTTGCGCAGACTCTCCAGCGGCTCCCCAGTACCATCAAAATATCTCCTGAGCGCCTATGACGTTCACATTCAAGGGCTGTTGTTCCACATCCCTCCTATTCAGACAGGTTCTGTGGTCCCGAGGGTTCCAGCCAGTCCTTGTGGACCCGGATCACTGGGAAGCAAGGTAGGCCTGGCTCTGGTTGAGGAGGAAGACTGAGTGCCTTTCCTGGGAGTCATCTCGCACAACCTGGGCAACTGCTGGAACCAGCCTTAGGAGGAGGCACATTCCTGGCTTGCATAACTAGGGAGGGTAACAGATTCCAGGTCTTGGGGCTGGGGATTTAGCTTAGTGGCCCAGCGCCTGCCTGGCAAGTGCAAGGTCGTGAGTTTGATTCCCAGTACCAGAAAGAAAAAAAAAAAAAAAAAAGATTCCAGATCTGAGACTTCCCAAACTATTTTAGCTGGGCACAGTGATGCAGGGCTGTAATCATAGCTACTCAGGAGGATAATGCAGCAGGGTCACAAGTTCAAGACTGGCTTGGGCTACACAGCAAAATACTATCTCAAAAATTTATAAAGGGCCAAGGATGTATCTTAGTGGTAGAGTCCTTGCCTAATATGAGGGTTTAAGTACTCCCTAGTACTACCAAAAAAAAAAAAATCATTAAAAATAGCCAGCCCTTCCTCTGGGTTTCACCTCCTGCACTGAAAAAGCCTTTAGCGGTGTTCCCCCCTACAGGCACAATGGTGATGTACAGGACTGTCTTGTGTCTCATGTGTGTAAAGTGTACCTTAAGGGACTTCTGAGCATCTTTTTGACTGTTGAGGACTTTTCCTTATATGCTGACCTTACAAAACACAGGCCACACTGAAGTGATAAATGAGCTAGTACCTAAAGATCTATAGAGATCTGGAGGGAAACCCCTCAGGCAGGGAACAAGTGCAAAGGCCCTGAGGCGAGCCTACCTGGCACACTTGGGACATCCCCACAGCTTGCTTTCTCTTTTCATCCTGGCCTCTGCTGAAACACATTCCCAAGAGGTCCTCCTAGACTATTCTATCCAATCAAATTAGAGCCTTGAAGTCCCCAAACCACTTATCTCCTCATTATATTTTTCCTTATGGATTACCTAGAAATACTTGAGCACTGTCTCACTCCATGGGAACACCAGCTTGACAAAGCCTGAACTGTCCGTGTATTTGTTTACTGCTGCAGCCCCCTGTGTAGAGGGGACAGAAGTCCACACTCTCGAGTATGTGGGACTATGTGAATGAACGAGTGACTAGTATTGACCTCACGGATGAGGGAGCAGACGTGAAGACCTTGCCCAGGGCCACAGGGCACCTGTGCAATGGGACCAGGGAATTCAGAACCTGTTGGGGATGCCGTAATGCTGGCATAATCCTGCCTGTGCCCATCAGATGATTTGTACGACACTGCAACCCCAGTACCCACGGCATTGTAGAAACACCCTAGGCCATGTCCCAACGTCTCAGAGACCAGGTGTGTCAAGTCCTCCCCTCCCTTTAGCCAGTTTCTAGCATGTGTGACCTGACAGCACCGAGGGGATGAGCCCATTGCCAAGGTGGAAGGCAGGCCCACTGGGCATGGAGGTCTGAGCCACCCAGGGTGCCGGAGCCTTCATCTCTGAGGGCCAGCAATCGCGCTTCTTCCTTCCATGCCCTGGTGAACGGACAGGTCTGAGCCACACTTAAAGGCCTCTCAGGTTGAGACACAGCGCATCCCCACCCAGGCTAACACTGCTGGCGCCCCTCCTCATCCACAGCTCACCCCAGGACCATGCTCTGCAGACATGAAAGCTTCATCTCCACCTCTGCTTCCTATTAGGACACTGTCTCCACCTCTCAAAGCCATGTGCAAAGCAAACAGGCTCTCCTTGATGCCCAACTTGCCCCACGTAGGTGACACCCTCAGGACATGGGGACACCCCTCTGCAGGACATAACTCCCAGGGCTGGAAGTTGTGGTGCAACTTTAGTTCTTCTTTGCATTCACCGCTGAGCCCTTTCAACAATCTAGAGCGCACAGGTTCAATTTGAACCATGATTTCAAATGCATTTTAATGATCCTATAAAACACCAGGGAAGCTCTTCTAAAAATATTTATCAGGGCTGGGCAAAGTGGTGCACGCCTGAAATCCCAGCACTCAGGAGGTTGAGGCAGAAGGATTGTTGTGAGTTCAATACCAGCCTGTGCTACAAGGAACTCAAGGCCAGCCTGAACTGCATTAACGAGACCTTGTCTCAGAAAGACAATAAATAAACAAACAAACAAACATATTTATCAGGACTGGGGATGTTGGGGTCAAGGATATAGCTCAGTGGCACAAGTGCCTGCCTGGCAAGCACAAGGTCCTGAGTTAGATTCCCGGTACCAAAAAAAAAAAAAAAAGAGGACTGGGGAGGTAGCTCAGTGGTAGTGCTTACCCGGCATGTACAAGGCCCTGAGTTCTATCCCCCATACAAGAAAATACATATATATGTACCAGTACTAGCACTAGGTGCTGGCCAGAGCAAAGACGCTCAGGTGGGACCCAGTTCAAAGCAGAAAGGTCCAAGCCAGGTGCTGGCAGAGGCAGACACCTGCAGCCTCAGCACTATGGGAGGCTGGAGCAGGAGGACTGCAAACTCAAGCCCACCCTGGGTAACTCAGCAGAAAAGAAATATTAAAAAGGGATGGAGGTTAGGCAGGGGACACAGCCAGTGTGAAGGCCCTGGGTTCAATCCCTAGCAGCTTTCTTCTCCCAAAAATGTCCAGGGTATTTCAATCTGTGAACACCCAATACAGCCCAAGAATATGTGCAGACTCCTATATACACATATAACTTGTGTATGGGTTACCTCATTGTTCCTGGCAACCATTCTGCTAAGGTACTAATTTCACGTCATCTCTAAAAAGATAACAAAACTCAGGCCAAGAGGTGTCTCACCCAAGATGCATGAAGTTACCATGGAGTACTTAGAAGGCAGGGCCTTGGGCCTCAAGCCAAGGCTAGAACTATTACTTTATAGATGTAGGAACTGAGGCACTGGCAGTTTGTAAAGTAACTTGCCCATGATCACACAGCCAGTCAGGAAGGCACAGCTTGGATTTAAACCTAGACAAAGGACCAGGGATGTAGTTCAGTGGCACAAGTGCTTGCCTGGCAAGTGCAAGGTCCTGAGTTCGATGTCTGATACCATAAAAAAAAAAAAAAAACTATTCTAAATGTAGACAGTCTAAACTGGTGTGGCGGCACACCCCTGTAATCCCAGCACTCAGGAGGCTGAAGCAGGATTGTTATGAGTTCGAGACCACCCTGAGCTACAAAGTGAGCTCAAGGCCAGCCTGAAATGCATAGCGAGTCCGTCTCAAAAAGACAAAATAAATAAATAAACCCAGACGGTCAAGAACAGTGATGGCGAACCTTTTAGAACTTTCCATAACAGCCCTCTGTGGTATGCCACAGAGGTTCATCATCACAGGTTTAGAACCTGTACTCTTAACACAGCTGTGCTGTC